GGACGAATGGGCTCAAAAGCTCGGTTGCAAAGGCTGGTCTTACAACGACATCAAGCCCTACCTCCGTCGAGCAGAAAAGTTCAACGTCAACCCTCAGCGTCCCTTGATCGATACATCTCATCGAGGCGACGAGGGCACATGGCAGACCGGCTACTCCTACCTGACCCCCATCATCGAGCACGGCTTTTTGCCCGCCTGCGAGGCAGCTGGAATCGTGAGTCGGGGCATAGTCTGCGCGCACACGCGACGCGGAGCTGAATCGTGCGCGCCACCCTCCCTCAGGCCGCTTCGGAAGATGTAAACACGCCAAAGGGGCCGCTCGGAGTGACTCGCTTTCAAACCTTTATCGACTCGAAAGGGCAACGATCCAGCGCTGCGACTGCATATCTCCCACCCTCGGTGCAGCAGCGCAAGAATCTGACAATCGGTTTAAACGCTCACGTCAACAGAATCATCATCGACACTTCCAAGGGCGCTGCCCAGGCGATCGGAGCAGAGTTTCAAGTCGAAAAGGATGGCGTCAAGTGGCACGTGTACGCCAACAAGGAAGTCGTGCTGTGTGGTGGAGCATACAACACTCCTCAAACGTTGATGCTCTCCGGCATTGGACCTGAAGAGGAGCTGAGCAAGTTTGGCATTCCCATCATCCGCCAGAGTCCCAATGTGGGCCGCAACATGTACGACCACCTTGCCAGCGGGCTTTGGGCCAAGGCGCTTCCGGGCAAGACGCTAGACTATCTCGTCAGCGACGTCAAGGCGCTTCCTGCACTCGTGCAGTGGCTCACCACCGGTGGCGGACCCATGACGACCAATGTGGGCGAAGCAGCGGCATTCTTCCGCACATCGGAGCTGGACAAGAGTGTGAGGGATTATGGATCGATGGGCAAGGGGCCCGATGCGGAGATTATCGGTGCACCTCTTGCTTTCCGTCATCATGGCGCTGTGCGAACGCCCAAGGTGCGTGCGTGAGCGTGCGTGCGTGCGTGGCGTGCGTGCGTGAGCGTGCGCTCGCGAAGCTCAACATTGGCTCTTTCCATGCACAGGGCACTAGCAGCATGTCGCAAGCCATCATCGGGCTGCGACCTCTTAGCACTGGTACGGTGACGTTGCGATCTGCCGACGTTTGGGACAAGGTGAGCGGGCGAGCGTGAGGGCGTGAGGGCGTGAGGGCGTGCGTACGTGCGGGCGTGCGTACGTGCGAGCGAGCGCAGCTGACCCTCTGGCGTGCGCCCCGTGCGCCCCGTCCCCCCCGTGTAGGCCATCATCAAGCACAATTACTGGTCCAACCCGCACGACGTCAAGGTGCAGCTGGCCGCTTTGCGCAAAGCGATGGAGATTTTCGAGCAAGACTCGTTCGATCACTACCTCGACCGTTCTTATGAGGACGACGATCCAAACGGCTTCTGGTGGCCTTGGTCCGTGCAGGACAAGAGCAAGATTACGGACGAGCAGCTGATCGACTTTATGAAGAAGGAATCCTTTACGCTCTACCACCCCGTAGGATCTGCTCGAATGGGCTCGGATGAAGCGTCGGTGGTGGATCTGCAATTGCGCGTCAGGGGCGTCAATGGTCTGAGAGTGTGCGACGCTTCCATCTTTCCTCAGCAAAT